TATGAGTATGTAACTTTTAATTATTCAAACAGTTTTAACTAGGATGATTTAATTAATTTTATCATCAGTCAACTTTATAATTTATAACTTGTAATTCAATTCGGGATGGAGTAAATACTAACCTTAGCTAGCTAGATATGAACCATGAGACCTGCAATGTAACAGAACCCATTTTCTCGAACTCCTACGCGTCTAAATGTCTAATATTAGACTGTTCTTAAAAAATTGCAGCATAAATTTTTTTTGGGGGGGGGGGGTCCGGTGGAATTGTTTGGTGAATTTTTTTGAGCATCTTCTTCATTAAGTCCAGTTTACCCATACCAAATTTCAGCTAAAAATTTCACCGATAAGGCAGTCAAATGATTTTCTGAAATATACTGCGCTGTCTAACTGCGCAGTTATCTTCAAATCTTCATTTTACTTTCTTCCCGATTGAATTTTTAGATGAAATTTAGTATGTGTAAACTAGACTTAATGAAGAAGATGATAAAAAAATTTCATCAAAAAATTTCACCGGAAACCACCCCAAATGACGATGACCAGACAGAGCCTCATATAAAAGGGCTTATTTGCACTTTTTATGAAAGTTCGAGCGCTTATTTGGTAGTTATCCTTTTTTTTAAATGTAATTGAATTTTTATAATTTTAAATTTTCAAAAAATATACGAACAAGAAATCAAATATATTAATATTCAAAGTTTTAGGATAAATATGAAAATGGAAGTAGTGCAGTTGAATTTGACCCAAAATATTATAGTGGACCAGATATTGTTAGATAGAAGAGACAAAGTAAGTTACAACGGCATGCAATAAATCATGGTTTTGCCAAATATGAAGAGAAACCACACACAATGGCATTTGCTACTTGGTTTACGTTTCATCCCATAATATAATAGTGCCAGGCCAGCTAAGAATGTACGTAGAAAAGCAATTCATTTCCAGTTACCTATCAGAATCATTCAATTATATGGAGATTTGTAATTCTAGTCCTGTAATTTTCGGTTGTTATCGTTTTTTGTCTTGTAACTTTAAGCACTAGCAAGTTTGGTCATGTAATTAATAAATCTTTGTAATTTAAGGACTTCCCACCGGAAAGTACACTTTCCGGCAGAAAAGTTCGACGCTGGCGACATCTTTTCTGGTATGCTATTGTCGGAAACTGTACTTTTCAAGGGAAAAGTCTTTAAATCGCAAATATTAATTAGTTAGAGGACCAAATTTGCAAGTGACTAAAGTTACGGGACTAATAATGATAACTGCCGAAAGTTACGGGATGAATATTGTAAATTGATCAATGGTCAATTATATCCTTCGTAATTAACTAATTAATATATGAGATTATATAAATTTATGTTCTTACATGTTCTAATCATCTATAATTATTCAAAAATAGTAAACATGAGTTTCTTGTAACGATGGGTTAGCGTGTTGAAACGAATTGCACTTGCTAAACTAAAATTACAAAGCTCTTTTGCTGTACGTACGTCATACTCATATACTCAATAACTCAAATACTAGACCAGTAATAATAAATATGTAAAGGATAACTTGGAAATTGGAATTATATAGAAAATGTTATGTTAATGCAAGTCTTATTAACTAGGGGTGGTTCGGTACGGTATACCGAATATTTTCTCTCATACCTTTGTCGTACCGAAACTTTCGGTATACGAAATTTATATACCTTTACCTTACCGAAGTTTCGGTATACCGCATTTCGGTATACCGAAGTTTCGGTTCGGTAACGGTACGGTATCGGTAAATTACCATGCATGTCTCCCAATACAACAAATTATCATAGACTAACGAAATTTACTAAATCGGTGTTACTAGCGACATATTTAATCCATTATTAAAATGCTACACAATACAATTAATAATAAATTGATATCATATTCAATCTTGACCAATAATTATTATTAGTATATTTAAGCAGTTCAACATGTCACATAGTAAAAAATAATGCATTCTCCTAAAATAACTTGAACAATATAAACATACTTAAATCAATAGTGATCTCTAACATATATAAATAAAATTATTCAAACAACATGGATATAAAATCACTTATTCCTAATATGATAGTGTATTTAGTCATTTTTATAATTTTAAAAAATATTTGAATAAGACTTTTGGACAACGTCGTGTGTCTCGACTTGTGGAATCACTATGTCTATTCATCACATAAGTGTATCCTTCTTCACTCGTCAGCTACTCAGCGGCTCAGCCGTCGCGACACGCAAGTTCTTGGAATAAGATAGACTTGTTTTTGGACATTAGTACATTACTCATTAGTCATCATGTTAGTTTGTTTGAATGTTAGTTAGTAGAAGCCTAAAAGGTTATAGTGAGTTTGGGAAATTGGGCCTTTATTTGTGTATTTTGGTATTTGTAAACAACCCAAGTATTAATTCAGGCTTCAAAATTGTAATAGACTTTTACAATATTTTAGAATTAAAAGTAATTGTTTGGTAAGCGAGTCGGTACGGTATTATACCGGTATACCGCGGTATTTGAAAACATTTACCGTTATCGTACCGAAATAAATCGATACGGTATGATACCGTACCGAAAATGACGGTATACCAATATTCCGGTATTTTTCGGTATTTTTCGGTACGGTTAGTGCGGTATACCGATTTTCCGGTATTTTTGCCCACCCCTATTATTAACTACGTAGTACGTATTAATTTTTCTCATAATTTAAAGCTTATACCATTGCGCGCACTAAGGATGTTTTTACTTGGACTGTAATTTGCTGGTCTGGTCTGTTTTGGTCTGGTCTGGTCTATTTTAGTCTGGTCTGGTCTGATCTGATCCGTTTTGGTCTGGTCTAGTCTGGTCTTGTCTGGTTTAGGACGAATTACAGTCCAAGTAAAAACAACCTAATTGCAACGGATTGCGGATGTTTAAAAGCAAATGTTTTACTTTCATTTTTCCTTTTTAAATTTTTTAAAATAAGTGTCGCGTTTTCTTTTTAGAAAGTAAAAATATGTAATCCACAACATTTCATTTCACTATATTCAAATTTCAATCACAAATTTTATACGGAGTATTTTCAAGCACTTTATTGATATTTTCAATCAAAACCCCTAACTAGCCTTCATCGCGAATTGCCCTTGTGTATGGACACATATGTTTTGGGTTATAGGGAGGGGCCATGGTAGGCCCCAATCCACCCCAAGTTTTTTTTCTCGATCATAAAAACGGCTTTCAATAATATAGATCAAACATGTAAGACAATATTGAGACAACTATTACAGATCCGATCGCAAGTCCTATGAATAGACTTAGAGTCAGACACTCATACAAAACAATCTAACTGATTAGACACAAGACGGGCAAGAATAAACCTAAAACGACCAAAAACGAAGCATCGTCTATCAAAAGTTGTTTAAAAATCAAAATACTTCAACCATATCTGCTCAAACTGAAATAAAAACAAGTACTACTAAAGGAAAAATAATATTTAAGTAAAAAAATTCTCCAAATTGCTTCCTCGCACGGAGGTGATTCCGAAGGAGGACGAAATGCTGTAGTATGGGAGAAGAGAATTTTAGACCCCCGAAAAATTTGTCTGAAACTCTGTCCTTGCGCTCGCCAATTTGCTTCTTGAGGTTTGTCATTGAAATCCATATCTGAGGTGAAGAAGAAATTAAACTATATCATGTATGTTTCCTTGTGTTTCTTAGCCTCCAAAAATTCAAACCGCATCCCACCTCCCTCGCGTTCCACTCACGTTCCAAAACTCTCAAGAGGAAAGCCGTACGAAGCTCACGTTCCATGAAAATCCAAGCCGCACAAACGAAACTCAGCGAATCAAAAAACTCTAACTGATGTAGGGAGACGGCCGCCTCTTAACTTATTTGATCACATATCCCAAGTTTAAATAAATGTTTAATTATCACGCTAATACGGAGTAAACCCCTAACTTACGCTATTAATTAAGGGGAAGTTTTTAATACGAAATTGTTTTGAAGATATGAGAATTATATCAAAATGTTTCTTATTCAAAATATTGTCATAAAAGTATAAAATTTATAAATTATATATAAATATATTAATTGAAATCATTGTCCAATGTTTATCATCATTGACCAAGAAATCGTTAACGAAATCATCGACAAATTCGTGCCAAATCCGTGTCAATCCCGTCATTTTTTGTAGTGGTTGTTACGTTGTTATTGCGGAACAACTTTTATTTGTTTCTGTATAGATATGAATTATAATACTTGAATCACTTAAATGGACCACATTCTGAGGTATCAAGTATTCACTGATTGTATTCATGTATTATCACAAATTTCCTCTCAATATAATGAATATATTAGGCATATATGACACATATAATAATGTTCATTATAATACAAACCGTACCCTCTCGGCTTCTCTGTTCCAATCTTCATGCTTTTACGTAGTTATCATATGTGTGTATATAAGAAAATTAATATCAATGATGAAAATTCATGATACTTAGCTGCCTCCCAAAAAAACATACTACCTCCGTTCTCTTTTAATTGCAACATTGGACTTTTTGCACTATTCACATATTTTACTTTAACTATATTTTATTAATTAATGTATTATAAATTAAATTTTTAAAAAATATTGTTAAATTCTTCTCTTTCTAAATTTTCAAAACATGAATTTTTTAAATTTTTTACTAATAGGGAATGAAAGATATTAATGGTCAAACTTGTGTGTTGGCAAACGTGAAATGTTGATGTTGCAATTAAAAGGGAATAGAAGAAGTACCTCTGATTCAAAAAATATTTGGATCGAAGTTTATGAAGGTGAGAATAAAGTGAAAATGTATATTTGGGATTGATGAGTAAGGAAAAAGAATTTTGAGAAGGGAAATAAGAATTAAGAACGTATTATTTGGGACATCTCAAAAAGAAAAGTAAGAACTATTTTTTGAGAAAAAATATAGAGGGAGTACATGAATACCATTTAAATGTTAAACACATGCCTAAATCACAAAGAATTATCCCATGCCATCTCACTATAAATATGGATAGGCATGCATTCTTTGCTAAGTCATCATCCAAACAACACAGATTCTAAAGCTAAGCTAAGCTAAGCTAAACATGAAGAGATTCTGTGTGCTTTTGTTTTTGTCTCTCTTCCTTTTCTCTCGTACTGGAGAATCTCTTTATAAGGTGCCCACTCCTCCTTCCAAGCAGCAAACACTTACTCCGGCAACTAATGACGGCGTATATATCGTTTACATGGGCGGCGCGGCTAGTAAAGATTTCGGCACCGCCACCAGAAACCACCGCGCCCACCTTATCACCAAACTCGTTGAGAGCACCGCATTGGTGCACACCTATACTCACGGGTTCTCGGGCTTCGCGGCCCGTTTGACCGAGGAACAGGCCCAGTCCATTGCTCAAAAGCCCGGTGTGGTGTCCGTTTTCCCCGACCCGGTTTTCCAACTCCACACCACCCGCTCGTGGGATTTCCTTGACTTCTTTTCTGGTCAACACTTTGACCCCACACAGAAGCCATCTTCGCCGCCGCCTTTTGCCGCCTCTACTACGTCGTCGTCTTCCTCCACACCACAAGACACCATCATAGGCTTTTTAGATACAGGTCTATAAACAATTATTTTAATTTATATCTTCAACAAAAAAATAAAGAAACTAATTGATTATTAATGTCACCTTTTTCTCCTTCAAAAATAATATGCCACATTTTTCTAAAGCTACACACATTGTTATTGTTACTTAGTTTATACTACTTCCATCTCGCATAAAGTCCACAATTTCACGTTTTTCAAAATCGACATTTAACTACTACTTCGATCCAGTATTATTTAAGATTATATATTTATATAATTTTCTGTAACAAATTAATATTTGAACAACGTATACTCTAATTTTTGAATAATTTACGGTCAAATAAACAAAAGAAATAATTACATAAATATAATCATAATAATCAAAATAAAGATGATTTACAAAAATATGACTAGTGACTACATTAGTAATGAAATCATAGTAATTAATGTTCAAGTTTTGAGCTTAAGTTACCACAACACCACATTGTAGTAATGAATAGTCATATTTATGTAAATATGATTTACTTTAGTAATATTCTTGTAAAAAACTCTTAACAAAAGTCAAAATATAAACTTACATATTACTATATTAGAGTATTTATCCCAGTGGAAAAACTACAAACAATAAACACTATATATATAAGGCTTTGGACTAGTTCAGTTGAATTTTATGAATTTATGTGTAGGAATATGGCCGGAGTCTCATAGTTTCAATGACTATGGCATGGGACCTGTTCCGGCCCGCTGGAAAGGAGTGTGCCAAGAAGGCCATGATTTCAATGCTTCCATCAGCTGTAACAGGTATGTTTATGTGTTTTAATTTGCTATCTTTGACCCTTTTTTTCAAATCACAAAAATGTTCTAATGAGAATAATAAATTTTGTTAGTTTTGTACTATAAAATGGAAACTCAGTTTTTGTTACTACGTATATGATACTTTGGCTTAATTTTTGGGTTTCAAAATGTGGCCTCACACTATATATCCAGTCTATATCTTCATTAATTTTGGGTGTAAAATTATTATGAACAGGAAAATAATTGGAGCAAGGTACTATTCCAACACCCGTAACGTGACAAACGGGTCACCCCGCGACCATTTCGGGCATGGAACACATGTTGCCTCTACGGCTGCAGGCTCCCTAGTTGAAGGCGCTTCTTACTACCGGCTCGCTTTAGGGACCGCCCGGGGCGGGTCCCCTACATCAAGGATCGCTATGTACCAAGTCTGTGACGAGTCCGGGGGCTGCTATGGGTCCGACATCCTGAAAGCCTTTGATGATGCCATTAAGGACGGTGTTGACGTGTTGTCCTTGTCCCTCGGCCGGCCAGGATGGGTCGAACCCGATTTCTCGAAGGACCCGATCGCGATCGGGTCCTTCCATGCAGTTGAGAAGGGCATCATTGTCGTCTGTTCTGCTGGAAACAGCGGGCCCTATCCTGGCAGCATCACCAACGAAGCTCCATGGATCTTCACTGTCGCCGCCTCCACTCTCGACCGCCACTTCGAGTCAGAAATTATCTTAGGAGGGAATAGTAAAGCCATAAAGGTAGTTAATCATTTTTAAATTTAGAATGTTTTTAATTGGACTAGTTTGAATTCTCGACTAAACTATATATACTAGTCTTAAAGAGATCAGAGCAGACTTTCTATAGAATTTTCTAGTCCCGACCCCTAACCGTACATTTCTGGCTCTACCACGACCTATCGTTCTGTATCTTTATGTATGAAGGGGCAAGGCATTCATTTCGCCAAGCTGAAGAAAAAGGCGGTGTACCCGTTGGTGACGGGGGTGTCGGCGAAGTTGAAGAATGCGAGTGAGAGTGACGCAAGGCAATGCATCTGGAACTCATTAGATCTTGCGAAGGTTCAAGGGAAAATCGTGCTATGTGAATACCTCCCAGAAGAGTATGGGTTTTCATGGGCGCGTTTAGTGCTAAAAGACTCGGGCGCTATTGGGGTGATCGAAATAGTGAGTGAGGAAGATATGTCTGTAGCTCCAAACTACAAAGACTTCGCAGGTTCCTCAATTTCTGCAGAGCAAGCCATCAACATTTTCACTTACATCACATCCACCAAGTATGTACACACAAACTTTACAATTATAAATAGCGTTTTGTCCAATCCGCTAATTCATTTGAACTACAAACCGCTGCATTTTGCAGCGGGTAGACATCGACCCGCTACAAAACAAACGTGCACAAATAGGATCACCGGCCTTTGTTTTAGTCCTATTTGAAGCGATTTCTGTTAAACTACATACATTGTTTTTTTAATTATTTATTCGTATAAATACTTGGAATTGACACTGAATGAATGAATGATGCAGGAAGCCGGTAGCGACGATCCTTCCAACTGTGACAACTATAGGATATAAACCAGCTCCTGTTGTGATCTACTTTTCTTCAAAGGGTCCTTCGCTTGCCAGCGCTAATCTTCTCAAGGCATGCATATTTAATTCTTTTACCTTCCTAATTTAATTACTGAGTAATGGTTTAACTAACTGTATAGATGATTTTAATTTAATGATACAACAGCTTAATTTATCAGGCCCAATCCTTGTATTTTGAATATTCTTTTCAAAACATACAGGGAATTTAAAATAATTAATTATGAAGAATGACTATCAATAAAAGGGCATTGGTCATAAATGTGATTTTTTACAATTTAGGAAGTATATGATTTGCTTGGAGGATTGAATATATTGTATATATGCATGTATGCAGCCGGATATTACTGCACCAGGGGTTAACATTCTAGCAGCATGGCCTGATCGGACTCTCGGCGGTCATTCACCGCCCGTCCCCGCCGTGAAACTTCCCGGTTACAATATAATCTCAGGCACTTCCATGGCTTGCCCCCATACCTCCGGAACTGTTGCTAATGTCAAGGCACATAACCCCACATTCACCATTTCCGCAATCAAATCTGCCATTATGACCACGGGTGCGTACCTATAAAAACAACGATTTTGATTAATATAATATTATGAATTTATAAATTTTACTTTTATTACTTTAGTACCGGTTAAGCTAGACTGTGTACACCGGGGTAAGGTTAATGTTGTATTAAATAAAGTACTTTTAACAAAGATCATTTTCATATTTTTTTATATTATAAATGATTTCGTATAAAAATATTACGCTAGATTTGGTGTCACATTTAGTCTTTCCAACTAAATTTCTCATTGTTTCTTTGTAAAACTGTTATTACAGCCACACAGACAAACAACATGAATGCACCCATAACAAACTCATCTGGATCAGCCGCCACACCATACGAATTTGGAGCTGGCCAGATCAACCCTGCATCAGCACTAGATCCCGGGCTAGTTTACGAGACCGATATCGAAGATTACGTCCTATTCCTATGCGCTACGGGCTATAACACGTCTCAAATCAGGCTCATCTCTTTAAAAGTGCCAAAACACTTCAAGTGCCCCAAAAACATGTCCCCAGATTTGATATCCAACATCAACTACCCTTCAATTGCCGTCTCTAGGGTCATGGAAGGTCAAACTAAGACGGTGACTAGAACCGCGACCAACGTCGGGGATGAAGACTCGGTGTACATTGCCACTATAGAAGCGTTGACCGGGATCGAGGTGGGGGTGAGCCCTAGTAAGTTGGTGTTTAGTAAAGAGAGAAAGAGGGTTAGCTACAATGTGACTTTCACTGCCGTGGAGTCTCTAAAGGAAGATGTCTTTGGCGCTATCACATGGACTAATGGCAAGCATAGTGTTAGGAGTCCAATTGTTGTAAGCGTTATTGACTATTCAGAGAATCGATAGTCAGAGAATTGGTGAGGAAAGTGTTTTTAATCAATAATTTTATTCAACTTCGTGAATTATAAATGATATGGGGTAGTTTGAATATAATAAAGTGCTCGCTTTTTATCATTTTTGGTCTTAATTATACGCTTTTTGTTGTAGCTTATTATTAGCAAGCTTATAATGTGTTTATTAATCAAACTCTACATGTTATAACAATTACCAAAAAAAGACTTGCCATAACACATGCGAGACAGCTAGGATGGAGTGAACATAACCCTCCTCTGAGAGTTTGAGGTGAACAAAATCATACTCTTTAATCACTTGTGAGTTTGGGAGTTTTGCAACTATTAATGATTGTGGGTACTGATACGGCGAAGTAAGGTACTCCCTCCGTCCCGTTGGAAGTTTTCAATACCAAAACGGCACGATTATTTAGGCAATAATTAAATAAAGTATTTCGAGTATATTTTGAAAAATAATTTTAATAGGTATATATTATAATGTAGTTAGTATTGATAACTGTGATGTTATAAATGTATTATTTTTAATATTTAATGATTAATTTGTCACTTAAGATTCTTAATGTTTCCTAAAATGAAAATGAAAACCTTCTAACGGGACGACGTACAAAAAAGGAAAGTGAGAACCTTCTAATGAGAGGAATGAAGTAATTGACAGTAGAGACACGATAGATAGTTGGGCAAGAGTTATAAGGCGACGGCATGGTGTAAAGGGTGACGGATGGTATATGTTAATCAGGTGTAACTTCAATGAATATAAAAACTACTCCCTCCGTCCTTTAATACTTTGTCTTCTTTCCTTTTTGGGACGTCAACTTTGTCACTTTCCCTTTTAATTAATTATTTTGTGGTTTCTGTTATTTCTCTCTTATTCACAAAACTGAACCACATAGTTTTTATTTTATTATTCTCTGTGTCAATTAATTTTTGCAAAGTTTCAAGGGACGGATGTAATAAATAAAGAATTTATTTTAGTGATACTCATAAAAGTACTTTTTGTTAAAAACCTTACCGGTTTCTCGGTCTAAGAAGAGTGGTTTAATCACATTCTCACAGATAACTCAACGATGGCCAAGTGCAGAGCTTCTAGGATGGGCAATTTGACCTCTTTTGTTTGAAGAATGATTTTATTGGCAAATACTCCTATATCTAAAAGGTAGATTCTATGGTACCCATAAGGTACCATACTTTTGTCCACATGGACCAATGAGAGTGTAGCAGTTGAATTATTTAAATCTAAATTAAAAATGATAAAGTGATGTGATCCAATAAAATGAATGATAAGTACGGTATCCATTTTTTTGAAACGTACAGGAATTGTCACCTATTTAAGATTCTACTTGATAAGAGATTCGACCACCCACGAGTGTCTGGGAAAATAACTTTTTTAATCAAAGCACACATTTTCTCTTTGCCCCAGATAAGGAAGCAAGAAAGAAGAAGTAAGTTGGCAGCAATGGCGGCGGATTCCTGCTCACATTGGTGGCACGCTCCATTCTACGTCTCCCTCTCCATAGCTCTGGCGTTCGTGGCCATCTCCACCACCATCCACCACTCCAGTCACAATCCTCAATCCGCACCACTTCTTCATCACAGTCTCTCTATCAACGCTTCCCTCGCTCTCCGCCACCGCGGCGGCTTCACAGTGTTCGCCGCACTCCTCCAGATCTCCCCGGACCTCTTCCTCTCTCCGCCGGAATCCACCGTATTCGCCGTCCCCGACTCCGCCTTCTCGAACATCTCCCTCCCTTCTTGGGCCATCAAGCACCTCCTCCTCTACCACACCTCCCCTTCCTCACTACCGTTCCGATCATTTCTCAAGAACTCTCCCGGCACCTGCCTTACCACCCTTCTCCATGACCGGACCGTACAGATCTCCAAGATTGATCAAGAAAACGGCCATTTTGAGATCAATAATGTTTCTATCACATACCCAGATCTATTCCTCGGAAACCGCCTCGTCGTCCACGGAGTAGCCGGATTCTTCTCGCCGGTTAACCTCAACCGGAGGGATGATATCATTCAATCGCCGCCTGCGTGTGAATCGGAGTTCCAATGGTCAAGAATCGTCCGGTCGCTGAGCTCTAATGGGTTCGTGTCATTCGCGATCGGACTCCACTCTGTTCTTGATACCATCGCTGTGAATATGGGCTCCGTCACCATCTTAGCACCGCCGAGCCTGGGATTCTTGGATTCGCCGTCGCCATTGCTGGACAAAGTTGTGAAGCTTCATTTACTGCCTCGAATGTATCGTTTTGATGAATTGGCGTCTCTGCCAAATGGGTCCCTTCTCAAGACTCTGTTTCCAGGTGCAGAGCTGATGATCAGTGTTGATAATATGACTAGAAGCGTAGCAGTTAATGGCGTAGAGATCACCGCACCAGATGTTTTGAGATCTGAACATTTCATAGTCCATGCCATTTCTCGAGCTCTGGGAGTGTATAGTCATGAGTCTTGACCAGATTGTTTACTTCTTCTGCGAGTGATGCTCTGTTTTTCTTTTTCTTTTTCTTTTTTTGTCATTGCACAGTAAAAAGCTTATGGACTTGAGAGGTTTGAAGATTTGGGTTGGAACAAAAAACATCTAAATTTAGTTTTAAATGATAGCACCAGTAATAGAAGTCTTGAATCAAATACAATTAACCACAAAAGCAAACACAAAATCTGAAATAGTATTTCAAAGTTATGTCCTGAATAAATCTTTTATTTTTTCTGAAATTCTTATTTTATGGACATATGCTCAAGGTTCATTAAATCTGTAATTTCAAAACTATAATGGGAAAAAAATTAAAAAAGAAGTTACTCCGTATTAAACAATATAATTTGGTATTAGTTGGGTCAAAGTAAAAGGGTGGGGGTTCGTGAATGTGGAGTAGGATGCTTCTCGGGTGGTCTCGGAGATTCTGAATGGCACGAATGTTTTAGTAGCGATTGATATTCGAGATTCATTCAAGTTTCACAAACATCTCTTTCTCTTCTGTCCGTCCCTTAAAACTTTGTCATCTTTCCTTTTTGGGACGTCCCAAAAATTTTTGTCACTTTCCCTTTTAATCAATTATTTTGTGGATTATGTTATTTCTCACTCCTCTGCACAAATCTCAATCACACAGTTTTTACTTTATTATTCTCCGTATCGGTCAACTTTAGCAAAGTTTTAAAGGACGGAGGTAGTATAAAACGATTAGCGAATAGAACGGCTCATAGCTTTGCACAAGTCACTTATTTTGTGTCTTATTGTAATGTCTGGTGGGGAGTTCCTCCTCCGTTTATTTGGCATGTACTAAATGTTGATTCGATTAATGAAAATTAAGTTTTTTCTTGTAAAAAAACAATATAATTTGGAAAACAAAAATATCGTTTAATTTTTCGCAAATTTTCGTGGAATAATTAGTTCAAAAAATGACCACTCTAACTCACACCCAAATAAATTGAAACTAGGCATGACAATGGGTAGAGGCGAGGGTTAAGTACTTGTGATGTACTAAAGCACACAAAGACTATTTTTCGGATGCCCGTGATGAAATCTGTTATTTTATTCCATAATATTCTCAAGTCAAAAATAGTGAATCTTTTACTCTGTACATGATGGAAAACCAAACTAATGAATATAAATGTTACGAGTAATATATTACAAGATCGTTGACTTTATGATTTATTATATACACATATATGTATATTTGTACACATATATGTATATTTGTACATGGGGTAGACCGGACCTATTCCATAATTCCATTTCAAAGGCGAGCGTGGTTAGACCAGTGTCATACCATCATATATCTAGTTGAAGCGGACCTTATAATGTTTTCACTTGAATTTATTTCAGTCCCAGATCAGATCAAATCATCAAATCAATTCATATCAGATCAAATCAGACCATATTAGATCAGAGTAGGTCAAATCATACCATAGTAGATCAGAAAATCCTTAGTCCTCATTGTTTGAGTTCGTATACCGTACAATCGGTTGTACGATGAGCAGTGTATAGCCGGTTGTACGTGAGCACCGTACAGGCGGTGACATTTTCGTGAATTAAGTGAAAATCTTGACTTCCGTTAAATGAGTATCGGATTTATTCTACTGAGTATTGAGAGTATAATAATAAGCATAGTGATATCAGATTCATATCTTATACTCCGTAATTCATTTTCTTTTTCTTGTTTTTTAAAATAACTCGTATGAATCCAATATGTGAACTTAATGTAATACGAAGTATTACTTTTGAAATAAGCATGAATATGACATTTTAAAATGAATATTACACCAATATCAAATTAGAATACACAAATTATGAAATGAGCATCGAAAAATAAAAAAAAAAACATTTAAAATCTCTATTATGCTCAAAATTTCAATTGTGTTCATATTGTAAAACTACGTACACCTTAGGTTCCTTCTAACCTGCGGCAAACAAGCAACCAAACGCACCAAGGACCAGTCTTGGACCGAGTACCTCGAACCAACCCAACCTCAAAATATAGATCAAACAAATATACGGTGAATTTTAATAATCAGCAAATCGTTAATACCGATTACTATCATTGGCTTCGAGTAGATCAAACAATTCGTCTCATATATGGGACCGTTTGCAAAATCGATTTATGTCCGCTAGCCTACCTCGTGCCATGGAACTTAAGCGTACTCTGAATTCAATCAAAAAGAAAGAAAATCAATCTATGGAAAATTACTTGTGTGAGATTACAAACTTGGCTGAGGCTTTAAATGCAATTAATTCTCCTGTAACTCCCAAAGAGGTGTTACAAAGTACTTTATATGGACTGGGACCAGAGTATGAATCTATTGTAGGGACAATCTCTTTGTTTCCTGATGATTTTCCGCTTGATATTCTTCATGACCGGCTACTTGAGGTGGAACGCCGTCTTTTGTTTCAACGCCAACAAGATTCATCACAATTTCAGCCAGCTTTTGGAGTTCAAACTGGATCCGGCCAGCAGAGTGCACCTGTGAACTCCCCATCATACCGCGGTAGAGGAGGCTGCGGCAGAGGAGGCCACGGCAGAGGTCGAGGTCAGCAGCCTTATGGACAGCCCCAGTTCGTCCAGCCGCAGCAACATCCATTCGGCCAGCAGGGACGCCAGACCGCTACTCCCAGTTCGGCCGCAGGGGTGTTCTTCCACCGAGACCC